CACAAAACTTTTGCTGCACTTGACAAATCTGGTAAAAACTATTTGTCATGGGTACTCGATGTTGATATCTATTTGGTCTCAAAAGGTTTGGGAGAGACAATAAAAGAAGGAAACAAAGAATCACTGCACGATCGTGAAAAAGCACTCAACTTTCTTCGTCGGCATCTTCACGATGGATTGAAAATTGAATATCTCAATGATAAAGATCCACGGGTTCTTTGAAAAAATTAATTGAAAGATTTGATCATCAATGGACTATAGTCCTCCCCAAAACCCGCTATGAGTGGATGCATCTTTGCTTGCAAGATTTCAAAACTGTTTGCGAGTACAATTCTGAACTATTCAGAATATGTTAAAAACTGACATTGTGTGGAGAAAAAATCACTGATGAAGATATGTTAGAAAAAACGTTTTCCACCTTTCACACCTCGAATGTGCTCCCGTAGCAGCAATACCGTGAGCGTGGTTTAAAAAGGTACTCAGAACTCATATCTTGCTTGCTTGTGGCTGAACAAAATAATGAATTGCTGAAGAAAAATCATGAGTTACGTCCAAGTGGTTCTGTACCATCGCTTGAAGCAAATGGTACTGCATTACTTGAAGTAAATACAATATCAAGATAAGGACGTGGACGTGTACATGAAATAAATTATGGACGAAATAATCAAAAAAATTATCAGCAACAAGATAATAATTTCAAAAGCCACAAAGTAAACGAAAGTATCACATCCAAAAAGGAGCATGAAGAAAGTTGCTTTATATGTGGAATGAAAGGGCATTGGGCAGGTACCTGTCGTATGACAAAACACTTTGTAGATCTTTACCAAAAATCGATCAAGGGAAAGGAAAAAGTGGAGATAAATTTTGCTGATTATCATGGTCCAATTGATGTGACACATTTGGATATCTCTGATTTCTTTGTTGATCCAAATGAAAATATTGATCATTTGATTATGGGTGGTGTAATGGAAGATATATATTAGTTTATTTTATAGTATTTCCTTTCGTTTTAGAAATTCAATT